AGCTAAAGAAGTTAATGCCTTTATCAGTTTTACAGTTAATGCCTGTAATTTAACTACATTCGTTTTTACATTTAAAAATTTTTTGAGCACATATTTTTGAGCACATGTTCAAAGCACTAAGTTAGATACTGAAGATAAAACAATGGGTAAAATTCTCAGATCAAAAGTAACTTTAAAAAGGAAAGAAAAACAAATGGGGAAGAAAACAAGTTTATGGTCCCTTCTATCAGTGATCATAAACTCTGGTGTGGAAGGCAATAAACAGCTGCTCATAAATCACTATGAGAGAGGGAAAGAATGGTCTATTCCCCATTAACAAACCAGTTAATAACTATGAGGAGGTATAACACAAGAAGGCCAATTCATTTCAAGAAATATTTATTGTGCGGCCATTTTATGACAAAAAAAAACCTTGAAGTGCTTGTTAGTGTCACTTTGATTCTCATAGATGGGTTTCAAATTCAATTCATAATAACAGCAATAATATCATTAAATGTTTAAAACTTTTATTAAGTGTACTGAACATGGTTCTAAGAAGCACTTTAGATGTTTTAACCCACTTAATGCTCACAAGAAATTGAGGTCAGTACTACTGACCTGATACTTTATGTCCAAAAAAAAAAAAAAAAAAACCTCAAACGAGAGTGATTAAGAAACCTGCCTTATGTAATACAACTAGTAAGTACTAGAGCAAAGTTGGAAATGTTAGAAATCTAGGTTTAGAGTCAGCGTTTCTAACAACTATGCTACTTTGACCAGAAGGCCTCTTTCAGACAGGCTTCCATGTGAGCAAAATAGCTGCTACACCTTAGCTACCCACAGCCCTCATTATACAGTAGCCCAATTTGCTTTCTGTACCCAAAGCAGCATTTATCCTCAGTAAGGTTCAAGAGCCTGGTTATTCATCACCAGATGAAACAGAAGACACAGAGGCCCTACCTGATAAAGAAGCCCCTTGGACTTGTTACAGGAGGAAGGAGAAGGATGAAGCGGGGTAGGAGGATAGAGCAGATAAAGGAAGAACCACTTTTGATAAGCCTTTAAGCTGAAGCTGAGTTCAGTAAAGGAGCCAGGTAAAAAAATGAACATTAACTGGAGAAAACATAACCATGCAGTAATAACACCTGCAAGTAAGAGAATGACAGGGCTAGACACAAAATCATGTTGACCTTGTCAAAACCCACTGATGAAATTTTATTTCTTCTGAGGAGCCCCCAGCCTCTCATTAACACTTGTTAACTTAAAACAGCAGGAGTGGGACAAGGGCAGATTATGGGTGATCTGAAGACACTTTGAATTTGAGATGCCTATGGTACATTCCAACAAAAATGCTCACCAGGCAGTTGGAGATGTGAGTCTGCAGCTCAAGGAAGAGGTCTTGCCTGACCCCAAATCTCCTCCTGGGTCCTCATCTCCAGCTCTAGCCAAGGTACTGCACTGTCTTCCTCTGCTTTTGGCATATTCCTCAGGAGAAATGAGACTTTCTTCAGTTTGGATCACTAACTTCAAAGGTTTTAAAGTCAACTTGACTCAGATCTTGGCTGATTTTGACTAGTATGCACCTGGATGTTGGCATACCCCCTGCCACGAATGCTTGTGAGAATACCGGCATCAGAATAGGTGATCAGTCATGCAGTCTAGAACTCCAGCCTGAGAATGGGTAGCCACTGCTTGCCCTTGTCCTTCACCTGATGAGTGATAGGAACATGATTTATCTTGCCTGCTCTCCAGAGAATGGCAGAAAGAAAAGGTGTCAAAAACTTGGCATGCCGGCCAGGCACGGTGGCTCACACCTGTAATCTCAGCACTTTGGGAGGCTGAGGAGAGTGGATCACGAGGTCAAGAGTTCAAGACCAACCTGACCAACAAGGTGAATTCCTGTCTCTACTAAAAATACAAAAATTAGCTGGGCATGGTGGTACAGACATGTAATCCCAGCCACTCAGAGGCTGAGGCAAGAGAAATGCTTGAACCAGGAGGCAGAGGTTGCAGTGAGCCAAGATCGCGCCACTGTACTCCAGCCTGGGCAACAGAGCAAGACTCCGTCTCAGAAAAAAAAACAAAACAAAACTTGGCATGCCATTTACCCACATTTGCTAATTCCTGTTAGGATGTCTATCTCCTAGATGACTAAAGGTGGCTGTGGCTGGGAGCAGTGGCTCACACCTGTAACCTCAACAGTTGGGAGGCCTAGGTGGGAGGATTGCTTGAGCCCAGGAGTCCCAGACCAGCCTAGGCAATATAGCAAAACCTTGTCTCTACTAAAAATAATAATAATTAAAAATTAGCCAAGCACGGTGGCACACGCCTGTAGTCCCAGCTATTTGGAAGGCTGAGGCGGAAGGATTGCATGAGCTAGGGGGATTGAGGCTGCAGTGAGCTATGATTCACACCATGGCACTCCAATCTGGGTATCTGAGTGAGATACTCTCAGAAAATAAATAAATAAATAAATGGTAGAATATATTATATCAATACTTGCAAATGCCATGTTACAGTTGACTTTTCAAAATACCACTCAGTTCTCATATTTCAATATAATTTAATATTAAACTTTTTTTAAACATGAGAATTAGAAAATAATTCTCATGATCTGTTAAGCACTCAAAGCAGTAGTTCAGGTCTTTAAAAAACCTAAGGAAGGTTGAGTTCTCACATTTACAATCAAAACAAGATTGGAAAAACACAATTGGAAATATGACACCCTCTTAACTTGGCTACACCATGGATTTAGAATGGTTAAGGAGGTTTTATGATAAAAACCTATATGAATGCCAAGAAACTAAAAAAGCTACTGAGGTTATTTGCAAATCAGAAAGTGCGCCTTCTTATACATGAGCTCAGGCAAAGCTATCATTCTGCTAGGCAATGGGCTTACAGCAACTTGTATGCCCCTTAATATCTGTTTTGTGTGTGTGTGATAGAGTCTCCCCCTGTCGCCCAGGCTGGAGTGCAGTGGTGCAAACTCGGCTCACTGCAACCTCCACCTCCTGGGTTCAAGCGATTTTTGTGCCTCTCAGTCTCCTGAGTAGCTGGGACTACAGGTGTGTGCCACCAAGCCCAGCTAATTTTTGTGGTTTTGCAAAAACCATGGTAATAGATTTTCGACATGTTGTCTAGACTGATCTCTGACCTCAATTGCTTGCCTCCTCCCAAAGTGCTGGGATTACAGGCATGAGCTACCGTGCCCAGCCATGTCCCTTAATATCTAATCAGTTATCAAGTCTTCTGCTTTAAAATATCCTTTTCTGGGCCGGGTGCGGTGGCTCAAGCCTGTAATCCCAGCACTTTGGGAGGCCGAGGCAGGTGGATCACGAGGTCGAGAGATCGAGACCAACCTGGTCAACATGGTGAAACCCCGTCTCTACTAAAATACAAAAAATTAGCTGGGCATGGTGACGCGTGCCTGTAATCCCGGCTACTCAGGAGGCTGAGGCAGGAGAATTGCCTGAACCCAGGAGGTGGAGGTTGCGGTGAGCCGAGATCGCGCCATTGCACTCCAGCCTGGGTAACAAGAGCGAAACTCTGTCTCAAAAAAAAAAAAAATAAAATAAAATATCCTTTTCTTAGCCAGGTGTGGTGGCTCATGCCTGTCATTCCAGCTACTTGGGAAGCTGAAGTGGAAGGACTGCTTGAGCATAGGAACTCAAGTCCAGCCATGCCAACATAGCAAGACTCCATCTCTAAAAACAAAACTGAAAAAACTAGCTGGGCATGGTGGTGTCTGCCTGTAATCCCAGCTGCTTCAGAGGCTGATGTGGGAGGATCCCTTGAGCCCAAGAGTTTGAGGTTGCAATGAGCTACAGTTACACCATCATATTCCAGCCTGGGAGACAGAATAAGACCTTGTCTCTAAAAACGGAATTTAAAAAAAAGAAAAAAATGCATATAATGTCCTTTTCTTTTTACTTCCATGGTCACTACCCTTGGCTAGATGTTTAGAAGAATGGTGAGAGCCTAGGAGAGAAGACAAGGAATTACAAGTCATGAATTTGAGTAGAAAAAAGGAAAGGATTTGAAAAGGAAATCTTTCCAGAAACACTGGGGAAAATGGAGAGAGTTGGTTGTATACTCACAGAAGAGCAAGTTCATGAGTACATATTCATGTGCACATATATGTGTATAAAATATGAAGAGAAAGGAAATTCAAGACCCTCCATCATGAAGGAGGACCTAACCACCCTCTCCAGCCATTTCCTTCCACTGCTGGCCATGGAGTCCCTTGTTCTACGCACCAAGGTCTGCTTGCTCTCTTCTGAACGCCCTTCTCCTCACCTTTGATTACACAATAATCCTGACCAAGTGTCATGTCCTGTGACTGTCTGCATCTTAGTGTCCTTCCAGATGTAGCTCAAGTTCCATGTCCCCTTGCAAGCCAAGCCTTGCGAAGCCCAACCCACAGTGTCTTCTCCTTCTTCTGTCCTTTTACAGTCACTGCCACTCACTCATATGGACAGAGTAAAATGAAGGTCCGTCACATACATTTCAATGGCCCATCTATGGTCTCTCATTACCAAGTACCTTCTTGAGTCTTATGAAAAGTGCTTTAGGGCAAGGATTGTGTCTTCACACATCTTTAAATCCTTCCTAGCATAGGCTCAGCCCAATATACGATCTACTATAGGAATAGGCAGTAACATACAATGTGCACAGGAAAATACTATTAATACATTAAGCATGAGAGTATTCTGATTCTAACATACAAGATTAGAAAGGGAGAATTTACCATAATTGTCTTTTCACTAAATGCCTTTTAGGAAGATAATAAGACTGTTGACCTGAGGCCTGGTAAAATATACAAGAAAATGGAAGAGGGAGCTTAAATAAGCAAGCCCAGAAATGAATGCTGGAGCGTAAGATTGTCATGAGGCAGATCAAGAGAGACAAAGGAAAAATCAACAATTGTTCAGTAGAAGTCAGATATAAAAACATACAAACTTATCTGAGTCACAGCCCCAAAAAGAAAAAAATAAAGAAATAAATAACATTTAAAAACATACCGGTATTTCCTTGAGCATCTTCTATCTTACTTGGTGAGGGCAACAGAAAAGATGGCCTGGTAAAGTGCAGGCCTTGAAGGGAAGACTGCTGCTGCTGCTGCTGCAAAGGTGTGGTTTTGAGGACCACCTTCCAGTCCACTTGGGTAATATCTGATCGTGATCGAGCATGCCCTGGCTTGAAAGTAGAGGTCTCATCCAGTAAATCGTTTACAGAACGAGGCCGGTCCCGCCGACGCTGACAGATATTGAAAAAATTAAAGGTCGATGCTTCCTTTTGTTCCATCCAGGAAAGATTATCTGGGGTCGTCCCTTTCTGGACCATAAACTGTTCTTTGGCAGGGAAGACATTTTGAGCTTTGGTTTCTAAGAGCCTGCTCTTACAGTGGTCCCAAATCATGCCCCCCTTGCCCAGGGAGGCCACATTTCTCATAGCACCACTGTCTGTGATGTTACTGAGTACCTCATGCCCCACCAGTTCAGGGACTTCCTGGATTCCATAAACCTCTGCTTGCTGCACAGCCTTTTCTAGCTTACTATCCAAAGTACTAAAGAACTCCTCTGTAACTTCTAAGGCCGGGCTGATATCATCCACTTCCAAAGCTTCCATGTCACAGGCTCCAGGAGGCCTCAGCCTCCTAAGCTGGTTCAAGAAATGGCTTCATGAACATTCACCCAACCAAGAGAGGTACTTCAGCAATACAGCTATGGAAACAACTGGAAGAAAGCTTCATTGGGCTTCCTGGAGCAGGCTAAACACAAGGGTGGTTGATGTTTTCCCAGCAATTAAGAGCATTTTTCAGTGGGTAATGGGCATTAATATTTGGGAGACCAAATATTCCTTTGAGATTATTCTGCAGAGAGACTTCTGTGAAGACAACAGGAAGTACTTGTCAAAGCAATGCCATGCCAATCCGTGATTTCCTGGAAGAAAATAAACAGGATAACATTGGCACATGGTTCACTGTATTCTATAGCACACAAATCTGCCAAATTACTTTCCCTCCTTTACACCTCTTCTCTGGCAGCCAAGCACAAAGGCAGACAACACTTATGCAGAAGTGCCTCTGTCAGTAATACATATCACTACCCGCTTCGGATAAAAACTTACATGGAGCAGGGTGGAGCACTTGATAAGAGGAATTAAGGTCAACAGCTTTTGCTCACACAGAGAAAGTGCTTTGAGAGCATTTGTGAAAAGACTGCCCTGGCAAATCTCTGATATGCTGACCTAAAATAGTAAGCAAGAGAGACTAGGAATTCTGTGACGGGGCCTGTAGTGTAATCAGTCTAAAAGTCATAAATGCTTGCATCCTTTCACAAACTTTGAAAGCACTGATGATTTGTTAGGTTTACAGGTGCAACAGGGAAGCCGAGAAGGAAGTTCTGCCCTTTTAAAAATCCAAATGTGACTGTGCTTGTGTTTCTTAGACTTCGATTACATAATGCATGATGATGACTCTGGACTTCAGAATTGCTCCGGCATTCTTGGGGTTTCAGGCTCCAAATTCCCCAAGACTTCTAGGATTGGCCTCAGAGCATGGATCTAATCTATAGCGTATCAAAGAGCTTAAGGTGAAGCCGCAGCCTGAGTGGCAGGCTTGAGTTCATCCTTTTCTCCCTCCAGAACTCAAGCCCCAAATCTTACATCTCCACCTGGCCAGAAAGAATCCTACATGAGCAGTAACCCATGCTTTCCAGGAAACACTAGATCATCAAGTCCAGGCCAAATTACAGCAGACCTTGACAATGATGCTATCCAGTACAGTAGACACTAGTCATTATGACCATTCACATTTAAATTTAGTAAAATTAAAGTTCCTCAGTCACACTAGTCACATTTCAAGTACCCAACTGTCACATATACCTTTGCATCTTTACCAAAACAAACAAACAAAACAATTAGGCAAGGGCTTTTTTAATCCTTAACTTCTTATAAGTAGGCAATTAGCAACACCATTATATACTGATATGGTTTGGCTGTGTCCCCACCCAAATCTCATCTTGAATTCCCATGTGTTGTGGGATGGACCAAGTGGGAGGTAACTGAATCATAGAGGCAGTTCTTTCCCATGCTGTTCTTGCGGTAGTGAGTAAGTCTCATGAGATTTGGTAGTTTTAAAAAGAAGAGTTTCTCTGCAGAAGTTCTTCTCTTGTCTGACGCCACGTGAGATGTGCCTTTCACCTTCCATCATGTTTGTGAGGCCTCCTCAGCCATATGGAATTTTAAGTCCAATAAAACTCTTTCTTTTGTAAATTACCCAGACTTGGGTATATCTTTATCAGCAGCGTGAAAATGGACTAATACATATACGTTGCCACAAAGGTAGACAGATGTGCTTTCTTTGTTAAAACTTCACAATTTTTATGGTTAAATTAATGTTTACCACTTAGGTCATTAAACCATTACATTTATATGTCAACAGCACCAAACTACCTTGCTTAACACATGTAAATTAAACTCATATATATAGACCTTTATTTTAGGAGTATCAAGGAGGTTTGCAGTTCATAGGACCTCTATAGAACCTCTTGCAAAGTGATAATGACTATGAATTTGTCTACTTTTATATATTTTGATATTTATTATGTTAGTACTTCATGAAGCAAGGCACAGATTTATTTTTAAAGATATATATTAGTAATAAAACTTTTCTAGCTGTAAACAGGGTTTTTATTTTTCCTGAGTCTACCTAAAGTTAAACCTTCAGTCTCTCCGACTGTGTAACAGTGTTTTTAGTGCTTCTGTAATTTTGAAACTTGGGATATTTTCCAATTTCAATTTGTATGCCAGAGACAGAAATATATATAAATATAAGAAATATTTTAGTGCTTTCCTTACTAAAAATTGAAATGAACATAAACAAAGTACAAGTTTCTCATTTTATAAAAGAGGCGCCAAGGTTCAGAGCATTAAGTTGTTCACTGAAGATCACTGATATTCCTTTTCTTATCCAGTGTTTCAAATTCAGTCTTTATTCGTGATAGAGAAAGTATAAATCACCCTCAAAGTAATTATTATTTCTTTTTTTATTATTTATCAAACTATCTAGAAATATTCTTTTTTTTTTTTTTTTAAAACATGGGGTTTCACCATTTTGCCCAGGCTAGTTTCGAACTCCTGACCTCAGGTGATCCGCCTGCCTCAGCCTCCCAAAGTGCTGGGATTACAGGTGTGAGCCACTGTGCCCAGCTAGAAATATTCTTTTTTATGCTTCTGGCTTGGTATCTGGAGGCTGGTTAGAAGTATCTAACAGGCCAGGTGAAGTGGCTCATGCCTGTAATCCCAGCACTTTGGGAGGTAGGTAGATCACTTCCTTTGCCAAAAGTTTGAGACAAGCCTGGCCAACATGGTGAAACATCATCTCTACTAAAAATACAAAAATGAGCCAGTCATGGTGGTGTGCACCTGTAATCCCAGTTACTCAGGAGACTGAGGTGGGAAGATTGTTTGAACCCAGGAGTTGAAGGTTGCAACAAGCCAAGATTACACCACTACACTCCAGCCTGGGCAACCAAGCAAGACCCTGTCTCAAAAAAAAAAAAAACAAAAATTAAAAAAAGAAAAGCATATAACTATTGATGGCCATGCTGGCTGGTGGAATACTTCTATACCACATGGTCTAAACCCATAGACTGTTAGATAAGGAAACTGGCCTTTGAGATAATCTTTTCAACCTTAGCATTTCATAGAATAAAACACTGAGGCCCAAAGAAGGTAAGAAGCCTCATGAGCACTTTCATACATGCAGGCAAGTTCTCACCTCAGGGCCTTTGCATTTGCTGTTCCCCCAGATACCCCAACATGAACAACTCTCTCCCTAAGTAATTGTTCATATGACCTGACCTACCTGACCACCCTCTTTAAAATTGTAATGAACTTCTCTGCCCTAGACTCTTGATCTCTTTTACTCTGCTTTTGTTTAAATAAACTTTTCATTTTAAAATAGTTGTTTTGGTTTTTTTTTTGAGATAGAGTTTTGCTCTTTTACCCAGGTTGGAGTGAAGTGGCACAGTCTCGGCTCACTGCAACCTCTGTCCCTCAGGTTCAAATGATTCTTCTGCCTCAGCCTCCTGAGTAGCTGGGATCATAGGCGCCCACCACCACGCCTGATTAATTGTTGTATTTTTAGTAGAGACAGCGTTTCACCATGTTGACCAGGCTGGTCTTGAACTCTTGAACTCTGGTGATCCACCTGCCTACACCTCCCAAGGTGCTAGGACTACAGTCGTGAGCCACCACTCCCAGCCAACAGTTTTATATCTATAGAATTATTGCAAAGATAATATGCTTAGTTCCGATACACCCATGCTCAGTTTCCTCTATGTAATATCTTACATTAGTATGATATATTTATCACAATTAATGAACCAATATTGTTACATTATTATTAATTATAGTCTATACTTTCTTCAGAATTCTTCAAATTTCCCTAATGTCCTCAATCTATTCCAGGATCCAATACAGGATACCACATGACATTTAGTTGTCATGTTTCTTTGGGCTTGTCTTGGCTATGACAGTGTCTGAGACTCTACCTGTTTTTGATGACTTTGACAGTTTTTAGGAGTACTAGTCAAGTATTTCATAGAATGCCCTTCATTCTGGATTTGTTTGATGTTTTTCTCATCATGAAACCAGGGCTATGTTTTCGAGAGGAAGTCCACAGAGGTAAAGTACCATTCTCATCATATAATATTAAGGGTATATACTACGAACATGACTTACTACTGTTCACGTTAACCTTATCACCTGGCTTGAGGTACCCTTTTCCTTAAGCATTTTTCTTTTAACATATCATTTAATTGACTTATTTAACATTTAGTGTTTTTCTCTCTCTCTCCACTAAAATATAAGCTCTACGAGTCCAGGAATTTGTATTCACTGTGTTCACTAATGTACCCCAAATACACGGAATAGTGTTTGGCGTGCACGCACACACACACACACACACACACATACACTAAATAGACACGTGTTGAACAAATGCATTGATGTCTTGTTGCATAAGAGAGAGCGCCTCATGACCTATCCACTTCTCCAAATTAAAGTTCTTCACCAATACCCACCCACCTTTTTGTTTTACTCCTCCATGCTTTTGTCCAAGTTAAGGAACCTTTTCTAATTGTTCAGGCTCTCATAGCACCCTGCATTTGCCACATTGTACCGGAATGATTGGCCAATCTCTGTAGAACCTACTCTAAACTCTGGGCTACTTGACTGCAGGGACCGCCGCCCTTCTTGTGTATCCTCCTATACAATCTCTGTCTTCCTTCTTTTAGACTCTGTTTTCCAACCTTATTCTTTGGAATTTCATCTTTTTCCTGGGCTCTATAGCCCTCAAATTCACTACAGTATAAGAGTCTGATGTCAAGTTTAATTTCTATAATTGAGTACTTCTTACTAGCTTGTCTCATTTGGTTTTGAAATTAATCAAAATATAATAATATATTCAGGTAGGTCAAAATATAAAGGAGACAAAGTGAAGGGAATAAGATCAGCGTGTGGGTGCGGTGTGGTTTGCCTCAGTACAAAACTGGAAATCAGGAGCTAATTAGAACTGTGTTCTAAATCTGGCTCAACCACACACTTGCTGGGTGGCCTCTGGGAAACCATTTAACCTCTGCATGCCTTACTCAGCTACCTGTATCCCACAGAGTTGCTAATATCAAATTGCATTGCATGTGGATCATTCACTAGGAAGCTGCTCCAACATGCCTGTACAAATGTAAACTGCTATATAATTATGGAGCACTCCACTGGACCTCACCCATTCAACAACCACGTGTTCCTCTTCTCTCCCTGGAAAGATCTGTCAATCCAACAAAGGCAAAGTCAGCAACAAACTATTTATAATACGCTGCTTTTCAGCCAAACTCAGCAATCTATAGATATTTTATCTTATATTTGTATAGAATACCCT